ATTAAATTGCTTGTCAATTTAATTATAGATACAAGTGGATTCCGGCTTCACGTAAGAACTGTGTTTCAAAACCGACAAATATTGCCGCGCGCAGTTTGTATGTAGTTGGATATTGTAATAAAAATTAATACACCAACACCCGTGTCGACTCGATAGGCATTACTTCAATATATATTTGATTATTCTTACGAGCCTAATTCCTTTAATTTATTAAAATTTTTCTTTTACTTCTGGTATTGGAAAAACTGCTATTGTACGGTACTCAGCAAATCGTACTTCATAATTTTATAAAATCACTCTATCTCACGTTTTCAGTCGTTTCATTATTGTGTATATAATTATTTTACACTTAATGATAAATAAACTTAGTACAAAAAAATACTAAATAATTTATCAGGTAAAACAGCAGATATATAGGATAACGAGGAGGTAACCACTCTTGAATTCCGGTGTACAACTTGTCAGAATTCTGTTGAATTCCATTAAATTTCTTGAAGTCGGATGGAGTCCGTAAAGTCCGGTGAAATCTTGAAGTTAGAAGTCCAAGTGTACACTCGCTCACTAAAAGGTTGCGACACTTTTTTTTTATAGGTTTCTAATTTATATTTAATATACGTAATATATACTTTATAGATAACTAATACTTTGCAAATGCAAACCACAATGTACTATCTTTAGTCTAAAGGCAGTATAACACCAATCGTGGTCCGCATTTGCAAAATATTAATGCGTTTTGAAACCTATAAAAAAGAAAATGTCGCAACCTTTTAGTGAGCGAGTGTACATATATTTTCTGAGTGATTACCCTCTCGGACAATAAGTTATTAAGAGCATTAATTTTTAACATTCAATACACTTCCATTCATAAATAGCTTTTAATTGGCTAAACAAAAAAGCCAGAAAACTAATTGTGTTTCACAAAAGTAGACACTTATTTAAATAGGCACCATAAGCAATTATCTATTGGCAGTAAAAAGATACTTAATATCTCTTTACAGTACAGAGCAGTATCCGGTACCGGGCGCACTCTTTCTATATTAATAGTGTAATGTAATCGCAATTCAAATTCTTTTTTGGTAGACAAATATAATTATGTATGTTTATATTTGATTATATGTATATAGACTTTCTTATCAGGCAAATTATTAAATATATTTAAAAAATTAAGATTGAATATATTTTTGATGTAACATCTGCTATGTAATTATTCATTATCGATTCAGCAGACCAACTTATTTCGATTCCTTTCATACATCAAATTATCACATGCAGAACACATTCGTTAAATAATCATTCATTTATATATCAGTCAAATCAATATTAAGTATGGATGCTATTTAATTAGTTCACAATTTTAAAAAGCGTCTTGTTTCTGTTGTCGAGATCTTTAAACCATAAATATATATATATATATATATATATATATATTTATATATATAACCATATATATATATATAACAGCTTAATTAAAAGGGTTTTCATAATAAGATAATACTCTCGGTAGTTCGTCATTTTCTTCCGAAAAGTAGTGATCGAATAAAAATCCGATGTTTCTGATTAGATTTGAACTCGGATCGGATTTGAATATTGATACAAAAAGCAGA